AATATTGGGACCAGGCATTCTACCCTACTTAAATCTCTGGAATTCCCTTTTCCGGGACTCTTCATTTGTATTGTTCCCAATTTTTTGATGAGGTTGTTTTAAACTACATGATTAGGTAGGGTGGCTAGTTTTCATTGTTGTTGCATTTCTTACAGCCTTGCTTTATTTTTATTTTGTGGTGTTTAATTTGTTTTTTTATTCATGATGAATGAATGCTTTATTATTATTATCTTTCTAGTATGTGGCTTTTGGATCTGGAGCTGTGTTTCCATGATGTTGTCCTTGGGTAACCAAGGTTATTTTCTTCCGTGCCACTCTAGTGGCAGAGCTTCTATTTTGCAGTTGACAACACTGGAGTTCTATGGGGCTTAGGGTGTTGGGCTGTTTTCCTTACCTCACTATACCTCCTACCACTTGAATGATCTCAAGCAGATTTCACAGGCAACTATTAGTGAACTTGATTTTTATCCTTCTAATTTGTTCCTTTGAAAACAAATCTGAGAGCCAGTTTGGTGTAGTGGTTAAGGCATCAGGCTAGAAACCAGGAGACCATGAGTTCTAGTCCCGCCTTAGGCACAAAGCCAGCCAGGTCACCTTGGGCCAGTCACTCTCTCTCAACCTTAGGAAGGAGGCAACGGCAAACCACTTCTGAATCTTGCCAAGAAGACTGCAGGGACTTGTCCAGGGAGTTGCCAGGAGTCAACACTGACTCAAAGGCACCCCACAGCGCAAAAAAAAAAAAAATTCCTTAGTTGATTAGAATCAACCAATTGCTTTGCTTATCACATATGGCACCTATAGGCCCTTCAGACAGTTACTCATGCCCTGGTCACCTCAAGACTGGATTATGCAATGCACTCTCAATGGGGCTGACCTTAAAGACCATCCGGAAGCTACAGCTGGTACAGAATGCAGCAGCATGAGCAGTAACGGGTGCCTCCCAATATGTCCATGTGACAGCACTGTTACACAAGCTGCATTAGTTGGAAACTGGCTTCCAGATGCAATTCAAGGAGCTGGTCTTTACTTATAAAGCCCTTTATGGCATAGGGCCTGGATACCTGAGAGACTGCCTATCTCCAACTACAGTACTGTGCAAAAGTTTTAGGCAGGTGTCAAAAATGCTGTGAAGAATGCTTTCAAAAATATATATTGTAATTGTTTATGTTTATCAATTTACAAAATGCAAAATGAGCGAACAGAAGAGAAACCCAAATCAAATCAATATTTGGTATGACTACCCTTTGCCTTCAAAACAGCATCTTATTTAGGTTTATCAATTTACAAAATGCAAAATGAGCGAACAGAAGAGAAACCCAAATCAAATCAATATTTGGTATGACTACCCTTTGCCTTCAAAACAGCATCAGTTCTTCTAGGTACACTTGAACATAGTTTCTGAAGGAACTCGGCAGGTAGATTGTTCCAAACATCTTGGAGAACTAACTGCAGAACTCCTGTGGATGTAGGCTGCCTCAAATCCTTCTGTCTCTTCATGTAATCCCACACAGATTCGATGATGTTGAGATCAGGGCTCTGTGGGGGTCAAACCATCACTTCCAGGACTCCTCCTTGTTCTTTTTACGCTGAAGATAGTTCTTAATGACATTGGCTTTATGTTTGGGCTCATTGTCCTGCCGCAGAATAAATTTGGGGCCAATCACATGCCTCCCTGATGGTATGGCATAATGGATAAGTATCTGCCTATC